TTCAATGTTATCTGAAAATGCTGACTCAGCTCAATTTCAATGTTATCTGATAAAGCTGACACATCTCAATTTCAATGTTATCTAAAAATGCTGACAAAGCTCAATTTCAATGTTGTCTAATAAATCTGACACAGCTCAATTTAAATGTTATTTGATAAATCTGACACAGCTCAATTTCAATGTTATTTGATAAAGCTGACTCAGCTCAATTTCAATGTTATCTGATAAAGCTGACACAGCTCAATTTCAATGTTATCTGATAAAGCTGACTCAGCTCAAATTCAATGTTATCTAATAAAGCTGACTCAGCTCAATTTCAATGTTATCTGATAAAGCTGACTCAGCTCAATTTCAATGTTATCTAATAAAGCTGACTCAGCTCAATTTCAATGTTATCTATTAACGCTGACAGAGCTCAATTATGAATCTAAGAAGAATGTTGTCAGATCATGGCTTGAGAGAAGTTACCCAAATAATTGAATTGATATTGGATTTGATATTTTGTTTAGACTAAGTATTGTGTAATATATCTATCTGTTATATCATTATTATTATGATGTAATACACACAGCTAGATTAGTTGTGTTAATTACATTGCAATCTGTTAGTCAATCTTATACTATCTCTGTATACATTATCTCTTTCTATTGCCAACTTATCTGGCATTCAAATCAAATACAATGTGGTTAATAAAACTTACAGTATATAGTTGTTTGATTATTGAAAAGACCCTTAACACTTCATTCGTGTTTAACATTTCACAGAAGATTCTGGAAATCTGTGCATTTATTTCAATTGTATAGTCTCCAGATCTCTGGTTCCCAACCTGGGGTGTTGGGACTAACAGTTGTAGAAGAATTTATTTTGAGTTGAGAGAGCACCTCATATTATCAAATGTGGATGAAACAAATTTTTGGGGTGTGAAAATTGCTTCAGGGGTGTGAAGGCTAAAATATGTTTGGAACCACTGGGTTAGATAGTAGTTCTAAAAAGGAAATTAACTCACTTCCTTCGTGTTGCACCTTCAAATAAAACACTCCTTTTTAAGTGGATATGATTTTCACCAACCCAAACATAAATCAAATCCATGAGGACGATTTGTATAATTCACAATATAACTGTAGGACATAACCTGGTTCTAATATACATTCCAAAACCTTCAAGACTTAAATGATTCACGAAATCATAAATGAATAACAATACTTACCTCAATTTAATATATTTTTCATGAATCAAATCAATAACCAAACACAATTATCATCTGTACCTTCATCTTATTATGTCATGTGATATGTCATGTGACCTATACGACTGCACGTGCTTCCAAATTTGTTTTTGTTTACAACCTTTGATGTAAGGATGTTATGTAAAACTCAACTGATAAACAAAAATATATTTTCAATTTTTTCAATGACAAAAAATTAACCGTCAGATTTTATGGCCTTACAAATGCAATTGAAATTTACTATATGTGTGAGGGGTGGGATTGCCATATAGTTGGTAATGCCAATTCAATTCTTGCATGTGAACTATTTGAGTTTTGTATGAATTGTAATAACAACTTGAAACCCTTTGCTGGGAGACTTTGAATGTTTTTGGGTAGATGAAAATACCAACCACCAGAAAAGTTTTTTACAGATGAGAATTTTCAGTCCAGATTTTCTTGTAGATCTATATCTGAAGACATTCTTAGACCAAAAGATACTGTTGAAAATTTTGTGACATGAGATCAAAAATTCAAATCTAAGCTCATTACAGAAAAGAGGGTAATTTATGTCCTTGACTCGAAATTGGATGAAAATTCGCCATGAGTAAATTTGACTTTTTTTTTGAAGGAATTGTCAAGAGGTTTGATGGTGTCGCTGAGGAAAACTGCTTATATCATATTAAACCTTTTACGATAGTGAAGTCATAAAACGCTTCATTTATGTTTAATTGCAGGAACCACAGACGCCTGATTGAAAAAGATTTTTTTTGGGGAAAAATAACACATTAACTTTGATTAGTTTATTAGGTTTTTAAAACTGTTAAACATCATTAAGTAATACAACATGTATTCTTAAGTCTGAGTTATTTGAAGTTGGTGAAACAGTATTTTCAGTACTATACACGTCTGATTTACATATTGATAGTTTACTTGTGATAGTAGAAAGCATTATTGCTTATTACAATGAACACGAATTTACTTAATTAGTTTTCATGACAGATATTAAAAGGATTGTAAGAAGGTTTTCTAAATTTTGTATGTGTATCGTCAAAGGTGATAGCATCAATTTGCACCATTCCAATTTTCATTCTAAAGTCTGTGATTCCTGCAATTCCACCTAAACTAGGTGTTTGATGACATCACAAATTGCGAAGGCCTTATGTGATAAAGCATATTTTGCTATTAGTGACATCATAAAACAGTGGAATTGCTGGAAACACAAACACCTGATTAAAAATTAGAATGGTGATAATTAATGCTAACAGTGTCCCAGATACACATAACCTCTTTACAAGTGCTTTAAGTATATACTAGTATCTTTTTTTTTTTACGGTAATTCACTATACATGTATCACAAACCAAGTTTGACTGTGTTAAACAGGCTCGAAAAAAGGTTGATAGTTAAGCTGCCTTAACCTTAGTCGTCTGAACGTACTATAAATGCAGTGATATATAGAAAAACTGATACAAAGAAAATGACCAATAGACAGTGTATGTCATACCGTGTATCACAACATATCCTTTGTGAAATAAAACATGTTTATTTTGCTTCATTAACAACTAAACTATCAAAATGAAATCAGATCTCTTTCTACATAAATATACACAACTACCAGATAATATTTTTGATCTCTAACCTTACAAAGCATTAGATAGCACTAATTCTAATAAATTAAAAATTCCTCATTCATTGATAATGAAGGATATTTTATTTTCAGTTTATATGGACACAAAATACACTAAATACCATGAAATGTTCATAATATCATTGAATATTTAAAGGTATACTATCTCTTAGGATGACCAAAAAATTAAAAATTTTCAACTTAGCCAAAATGAGACTATGTTCATCAGTGGACTTACCTGGTGTTATAACTATACAACATGGTAAGTCCAACTGATGAATATATACACTTATTGACCAAGTTTGAGGCTTTAAATTTTTTGTCATTCTAAGAGGTAGTATCCCTTTAAATTGATGGTGAGTTATTAAAAGACAATGAATAATACACTAATTAATGTTATTTGTACACATTTCACAATATTTAACCATAACCTTCTTTACAATGCTTTGACACAAAATCTGTGCAAATGTCAATTGAGTGTGCTGAAGGCTTTAATAAATGAGTTCTGGTACATTATAATATATGGTTTAATAGAAGGATCATATAAAACTATGTATGCTTCTTACATGGAAATAACACACACGAACATAGTTCTCAGCTATTTTGACTCTCTAACTCAACTGAATGAGTCGAATTTTGAAAACAGATTTATTAAAGGTTTCCAAATTTGCCTTTTTAAACATTCCACTTATAAGGTCGAGGAAAAGAGATTCAAAATGGTTATGAACTACATTTGTGTGTGTTATTTCCATACGTAAGAACCATAAGTAGTTTCATATGATATGATGTCATATTATGCTAATTGTGATCAATTTTGTGTTGGTGATTGTAGCTAGTGTGATAAATTTTGTGACCAAACCTTGTCAGATCTTTTTCCATAGCAACATAAATAAAATTGTGTTATTATGCTACTATTATTATGCATTAAATATAAATTAATCGTTGCAATTCTACCTTAATAACATTTGAATAAATAAACAGTTACTTACATATATATATTGGCCAGTCAATATGTGGAATAAAAGTACAAGTAAATAGTAATCTACCTACATGTATTTGCTTTAATTACATAGTAATAGCTGAAAATTAGCTGTATGTATCACTTATCAGATTTAAAATCTTACATCCAGTTACTCTAAAATACATTACAATTTTATACTGTAATCATTTCCAGGCTTTTATTAATATTGTCCATGCATATATTTTTTAACAATGCATTCTGAACGAATGATTCCAATTTTGATAAGTGATACAGATAGATGAAATATAGCTTTATCGCCTGCTTAAACAAATATTTAGATTACTATAGCCTTTCAAATAACAAGTGTCTGTGGAATGTACAGAACAGAAAAATAAAACATTTTTGTAATGTGGTTACATTAAAACATGGGTCAAAAATTAAAAAGTGCCATTTTCTTTTGTACAGTTTATATATGGACACAATTTTACTAATTTTTTCCACGACTCAAATATAAATGCCCCAAGATAAGGAATCGATTAAAATCAATTGTATAAATACAGATATTTATTGTCCCTCCCATAAACATACACATGGGCGTTAAAAATTATGTGACCTTAAATTTAAATCATATCAAAACCCCTAGAACATGATATATAATATATGATTTGTGATATTCATTGGCCCCTAATAGTGATTGACAGGTGTCAAGCTTGTCAAAAACATCATTGATTGGTTTATGTTATAGCAATATTACCCAATCACATTGGTCATAAGTTACAAAAGTTTAATGACAGACCTGAATCGTGAAAATGTCCGGTTTTTCTGAATAAGCCGGACAACATCTGTCAAAACAAGCTATAAACACTTAAAATGCAGGATAAAATTCTGCTAGTTTTGACTATGATTTTCTGATGTTAATAAAGGTCTTATATAAAGCTGTAAAGGTAATCTGATGTTTTTGCCTTGACATTCTCCTAACTCCTCTAAAACTGCATTGATCTTCACTCTATAACAATAACAAATAAACCCATAAAATAATAAATAATATATATATTAAAAACAATTAATGGATGTCTTGTGACCCTGTTAGTAAATAAGATGTTACAATAACCCAATAAATATAGATATATAGTATAATAAACTGGTTGTTATCGACAACCATAATACTTCAAACAAACGTCTATTGCCAAACCATTTTTTTTTTTTTGGTTAGAAGTGAAGACAAACAAAACAGACATCTATAATCACAAAATGTTTGGCTTTGGCTTGTAAAACAATAATTTCACTCAATCCTAATTGAATTGCAAGTGAATATACTGGAATGTTAACAAAAGAAAAAAAAAGTTATTAGGCGCACTTTAAATTCTCAAATAAACTTCCAAGTTATAACACATAGGCCATGGTTGTCATTCAAAATAAGTTTCAATATCACATTAGCTATGTTAGAGGGCAAGTAATATGTATATATGTATAGTTGAGTTTAACATCCAACTTCACTGGGTTTCACGATGGTATCTTACAAGCCAAGCCAAACTTACTGTGAAATCAATTATTTTTGTAGGCCCCAAATTTCATGAAGCATATTTTAAAAATGTTCTCAAATACTTTTGTACATTTGTGGAGAAACAATTATTGTGTAAATTGGTCAACCCTCCAAAAACCCATGAAAATGAAACTCAACGAAAAATAATGACTTCACAGTATCTTCAGAACAATGTCTGTGTATTGACATTGTAGAATGTTTAAAATATCTGAGAAGAAATAAAAGCTCTTCCTCTGTTTTTCATCCATCTTAGTTCTTCTCTGGCACCTCTTGTAGTGTGTGCCACTGAGCTATAGGTCTTCTAGGATTCGCCAACATGTCACTCCAATGCCTCAACTCTGTGCCTGTAGAATTACAGCCTAATAGAACACGTCCTATTGGCTCTGATGTACCAATTCTGTCATAATCAACCACAGTGATGATCAGCTGAACTTTCTGGAAAAAGAGAATACTTTTGTTAATATTGTGTTAACCAATCACAATGAAGGGTCAGGATTTGTGAATTTAGCAATGAGTGTGTTCTCGTAAAAAAATTACATCAATTCCAAAAATTAAATAATATATACAGAAATTAGTCTAAAATTCATAGTTTCAAAGACTTTTGTCTGTTAATTTCATGAATTAAGCACATCAAAGCCTACTAAGCAAGATTTAGTAATTGTGTCATTAGATTGCCTCAAAAGGTTACAGATCAAAACTGAATATCGTGGGTGACCGCTTGAAACCTCGTATATGCCATATTTGGTCATTTTGAGTTTTTGGTATTGTTCGAAAGCTCGTATCTTATGATCAAAACCTCTAAGTCTTAGCTTGATTGTAAATAACTCAAAAAGAAGTAATTAAATAACACGTATATAAACAGTCAGATTTAAAACCTCGTAAAATATCATATATACGAGGTTTAATGTTCCTTTTTCTGCAGATGAAAATGAAAACCTTGTATACTGTTTGAGTTTTTGGTTCAATAGACCAGAGAACTCAAATTGTTATACAAGGTTTATACTTTCAAAGAATGAAAACCACGTATAGCAGTAAAAAAAATAATAAAAAAGATTTTACCAAAATACGCGTACAAATAGTTTTTTGCGTTTTTCTCGAAAAGTAATTTCGTGTCATATATCGTTATACAAGGTTCAAGCGGTCACTAACGATATATTATCACAAGTACAAGTTGATTTAAAGACTAATAATAGTCAAGGCAGTGACTTCATAACTTTTCAAAATTTCGAGAAAAAAAATTTCACAACACAAATCCTGACCCACAAATATATAATCAAATATAAATATTACTATGTTCAAAAATTCAAACATATTAATACCAGACATTTCACATAGTATATATTACTTTTTTGAAAAAATTGTGAAAAAAATCTTCTTCACAAACCTCTGTATATCTATATCTATATCAAATATATTAATGAAATAATTCTATAGATTTATCATGGTTCATTTAGTTATTCAAAATACACGTAAACATTAAATTTAAACAACAAATAGTCAACGATATAATGAACATTATTATTAAGAACATTAACATGCAAAATGGATGAAAAGGTAAAAGGAGGTTAGAAGTTGAAGGAAGAAAGTATTCGAAACTTGCTGAATCTTTATCTGGTCTCTTGATGAATGACATAAAAACAAAGCCTACTTTTTAAGGGAACTCTAACGAAAAAAAAAAATCTAAAAAAAAAGTAGATATGGAATCACGAAATGTGGCATTGGAAAGCTAAGATTTCAATCTAGTTTGTGTGTAAATTTCATCTTCCTATCTGAAATGGTTTGACCGTGGTGAAGCTGTAAAGTTTGATTTTTCAAAATAGTGAAGAAAATTGGTGAAGTAACTCCTGTGGGTTCAAAATCCATTTTTGGGTCAAAAAATTTTGGTCTTGAAAATCATTGTAACCCATTTTTTTTATTCGGTTCCTCCCTAGTTGTCCCCCTATAAGCAACTCTGAGCAATTTCTTTTTGTGAAAAAATCATTTTTTTCATGGATAAATTCCAAAATCACTGTCTATAATGTGCACCCACTGTTTAGAAAATCCATTTTAGGGTAAAAAAAATATATATTATCCAGAGCATAATAATGACTCAGCAAGTTTAGATGTTTAAGGTAGGTACATGCGTAATGTTAAAGATTTCTCTATAATGTAAGAGTAAAAAAGTCCTGTAAAAGAAGTCATATTTAAGTAAACATGTGACTGGAAAACTGATGTGATAAAAGAATACAAACATGTCATGTTATATAATTATTTCACTATGTTCCTAATGCCAAATATTAAGTTTTACTTATATGTCATTTTGCCCAGGAAAGACATTACCTACATGAAATGGTTTGTTAACCTTAAAGTAACCTCAAAGTAAGACTTGTACCCTAAAAATTAACTAGTCTCTGAAAACCTACATCTAAAAATTTCAATGTTTTCAGTTGCATCCAAATTTGAATTTTAACCAATGAATTTTGAATTATTTTAAAATAACAGATTGGAAACTCAATGAAAAGAAATTATTGAAACCTTATCAGCAAGATATTTTCTATAGATATTATATAGATAATATATTTCATCATTCAATTTTCAAATTGACCCCAAAAAGAAATTACTCAGCACTAAAAACCCATGTTGTTGAGATTGTCTTTGTTATACTCAGATTTTTAATTCACAGAATATACTGCCATTTTCTACTCAACTTTCAATCTTATTTTCCATCAACTCTTTTTTTATGTGACCTAGACCAGTGTTTCTATAGCAGAAGATCTTAATACTCCCTTGATGGTACAAAATTCAAAACGTCATATTTTCCTTTAAATATTGAAATTTATAGATATAATTGCAATATGAGATAATATTGCCCTATTGTGTTACTGGTATTAAAATACTAACTGAATTAAAGAGGACAAAAAAAAGAAAAAATAAAAGCTAGGGGATTGAAATTTCTAGTGTACTTTGTGCTATCATTTTGGTCAAGCTGAACTATATTCTACAATATACTCACAACATACACGTGTAAATATCATGTTTTGCTATGTATACCTGTATTTGTTCAAAAGGAACCTCAAACGTGAATGATTCATTATAATATGGATTCAATGTACACTTCTTGATAGTTGTCTTCTTCTTCTTAATACGCTTACCATTCAAATTCATAGAGATCTTAACATAAGGATCTGATAAACGAAGAAATGGTGAAAAAGACTCAAAAAATAAGTTAAAATGGCATAAATAAGCCCACACACTGATAGATAGACCAAACCAAGAAGTTCATAATATTTTGTCATTTTGTCAAATTTTTTGAATATTTTAGATTTTAGCCCAGCAAGATATTGCGAGAAGCAAACAATTTTACATCCGAAAAAAAAATGGGAACAAGAATTTTGATATTTTAGTGTATAAAGAAAAGGTTGTCCATAAAGCATCTTAAAAAAAAAAATGCCATTTTAAACTGTTCAAGTTTCTAAAATACTAAACCTTAGTGATCAAAGATGTGCAAAATCTATTGGTTGCACTGTGGCATATTTTTTTGGCAAAAATTTGCTGGTCAAAATTTGAAATTTATATTTTGAGATTTATGTCTTAAATGATTCCACAAAATATTATGAACTAAGAGACAATTGTTAGCAAAAAGCAAAATATGAAAAAACACCAACACCCAACTGCGCAACTTTCATTATACCTGAATTTGCTCAAAGGGTACTTCATAAGTGAATGACTCATTGAAGTAGGGGTTGAGAGTTCGTTTCTTAATAGTTGTTTTCTTTTTCTTCAGGCGCTTTGAACCCTGATAGAGAGCAATTTTCACATAGGGATCTAAGGAGTAAACATATTCATATTACATTAATGTGATCCATTTCTGTCATCAGGCCCGTAGCTAGCCCAGGGTATCAGGGGGGAGCCAAAATTTTTAATGGGGGACTCAACAAGTCATTCAGACATCTAAAAATTTTCAATGTGGGGTGGGGGGACCTAGCCCTCCACTGGCAGCCCCCTTAGCTACAGGCCTGTCTGTAATAAACATGACATAAAAATATCAGTTTAGAGATATTGTCATCACATATTTGCTTTTATCAACATCAAGAGCTCAATTTCAGTAAAACTTTTCAGAATCTTAATCATATCAGTTCATGTATTCCAACCTGACACGAACATTTGCCTTCTGAAAAGAGCTAAGGATAGCTTAATTAAGGTGCCATCAGTTGGTAAAGCAAATATCTAGAAGCCTACATCCCTTTGGCATTATAAAGTGAAAAAAATATCACTGAAAATCTGAAATTAATGAGCTGCAAGCTCAAGATCTCTAGTTAAAATTTCTGAAGGAGAGTGGGCATCAAGCTCGGGTACTGTTAGATATTGACTGCACATCAATGGCATTTAAGAAAGACAAACTTTCAATTATGCAAAGACAATAGTTCTTATAACAGATAAGTCAAGTTTATTTTCACAGGGCAAAATTGTAAAAAGGCTTTAGACCAATTTTTCACCCTTGTAAAGATTTTATCATTATTATTATCAATAATCTGTCTGCAATTTTCAGAGGCAAAGAACAGAATTAATTCAAATCTAGAAAACTGGTATGAGCTCACTCTATAAAGAGTAGATGGTACGTATTTAAAATTGCAGGAACTTTTGGGCAGTGTTTTAAGCCTTGGTCAAATGTTTGATATCCCAGACCTCAACAATAATGGATAGCTTATAATTGTCTTGTAGAGCTGACTTTACCTGATAGGCCTCCAACGTCCATTTTCTTGAGATTTTTGGCTTCCAGAATAACAACCGTCAGTTTACCTGCAGTAGGTACGTATCGTAATGAGAAACAAATATCACCAAGTTTGTTTTCCTGAAATAAGTAAATAAATAAATAATAAATAGACATGGGGTAGTAAATATATAGACAGGTGGTAATAAATAAATAGCCATGTGTTAGTAAATATACATACATGTGGTAGTGAATAAATAGACACATGGTAGTAAATTTATGGACATGTTAGTACACAAATAGACATGTGGTAGTAAATAGATATGCATGTGGCATTGAATAAATAGACAAGTGGTAGTACATTAAAAGATACATGTATAAATAGACATGTGGTACCAGTAAATAAATAGACATGTGGTAGTGAATAAATATACATGTGGCATTGAATAAATGGACAAGTGTTATTACGTAAATAGACATGTGTATAAATAGACATGTGGTACCAGTAAATAAATAGACATGTGGTAGTGAATAAATAGACATGTGGTACTAGTAAATAGATAGACATTTAATTATGTAATTGTTTAAATAGTCATGAGTTAGTAAATTAATAGACATGTGTTAGTAATTAAATAGTTGTGTGTTAGTTCATTAATAGACATGTGTTAGTACATTAATAGACATGTGTTAGTAAATTAATAGACATGTGTTAGTAATTAAATAGTCATGTGTTAGTACATTAATAGACATGTGTTAGTAAATTAATAGACATGTGTTACTACATTAATAGACATGTGTTAGTAAATTAATAGACATGTGTTAGTAATTAAATAGTCATGTGTTAGTACATTAATAGACATGTGTTAGTAAATTAATAGACATGTGTTACTACATTAATAGACATGTGTAAATGCATTAATAGACATGTGTAAGTGCATTAATAGACAAGTGGTAGTAAATAAATAGACAAGAGGTAGTAAATAAATAGACAAGTGGTAGTAAATAAATAGACAAGAGGTAGTAAATAAATAGACATGTGGTAGTAAACTAATAGACCTCGACTATGAGTACAAAGACGTCATTTTTCTTTCTACTTTATTACTTTTTTACATGAAATGTTCAGAATGCAATTGCATTTACTACTCCAGATATTAAAAGCCATGTTAAACTGCGAAATTATAAATGAATTATAGAACTGAACGTAAAGTAAATTGCATTATATTAAAAACTCTTTTTTTTTAAGATAGGACAATAGCACTTTGGGGTATTGCACCTAATTCCGATCTATGAAAAATAAAAAGTTTATTATTATGATTAGTTTTAGTTACAATAATTCTTCGGCAGACAAATCAAAAACTAAACAATTTATAAAATTTTACCTTTTCAGCTTCATTATCTGGACTAGAAAGATCTTGCCATTCCTCTGTCACTTTACCAAGGTCAATGCTATTTAATGGAATCTTAACCTGACCAATTTGGTCATGCTTGGAGAATCGATCGAAATCATAGACAGCAAATACCAAAGTTTTGGCACCAATCTCAGCATAAGGTACCTGGAATTGACACATAAAATTAAGACATTGGACATTTTGTAACTGAATGTTACCTAGCATTTCTTTGTGTATGATGTCATTTTCTTGGTTACATCAAACAAATGGTGGCTGTGGGTTCCAATTTCAATCAGCGGGTGAATGTCAGATGATCTTGAATAAGTCATCTTCACTCATAATTCCAGTCAACCTAGCTATAGATGGGTACAGATTATCTGAGTAAGATCAAAGCAAAAAGGTTTAGCCGACGACAAGATGGTAATAATGATCCTTAATTGTGAACTTAAGTTGTTTGTTTGTTTCTTTCTGTCCTGTCACAGTTTGATTATAGTAATCACTTTGTAACAGTTATCTTGAAGTGTTATCATGGTAATGAGGAATTGAGTCATAACAACAAGTGGTTGCCTATCAAGATACACTCACTTCCCTCATAAATTTTCAGTATATCAAAGGCGGTCACCAATCTGTGTCAAATCCAAGATCTCATCATGACAAATGATTACACCAAATTTCATTTAAATGGGATGAAAACTGTAGTCTCTATTGTTTTCACAAACAAAATTTGAGCAATTTTTCGTAAGTCAAGAGAAATAACTAAAAAAACATCCATCGAAAAATCATTATAAATGTGGGCATATAAAAATGTGAGAATTGTACCTTGAATGTGAAAGTCTCATTGAAGACTGGATTAAGAGTTTTCCTGTGAACCTTTGTTTCATATTTCTTCTTTTTATCAGGTAACAGATAGACTTTAACATAGGGATCTGATGTACCACTCATATCCATTCCTGGTAGATCTGCTGCTTGTACTACACCTACTGATAACTACAAAATACAATTTTAAACAAATACAAATTCATGAATATACATTATTATCATATATTATTATCAAATACAAATTCATGAATATATATTATTATTAAATACAAATTTATGAATATATATTATTATTAAATACAAATTCATGAATGTATATTATTGTCAAATTCATGAATATATATATCATTATCAAATACAAATTCATGAATATATATTATCATTAAATACAAATTCATGAATATATATTATTATTAAATACAAATTCATGAATATATATTATTATTAAATACAAATTCATGAATGTATATTATTGTCAAATTCATGAATATATATATCATTATCAAATACAAATTCATGAATATATATTATTATCAAATACAAATTCATGAATATATATTATTGTCAAATACATGAATATATATTATTATCAAATAAACATTCATGAATATATATTATTGTCAAATACAAATCATGAATATATATTATTATCAAATACAAATTCATGAATTTATAATTATTATCATATACATTGGTGCCATAAAAATGCACATTCAATTGGTCTAAAATCAAAACAATATATACACCAAAATATTATGCTAAAAATGTATGCCTATAGAGCATCATCATAAACATAAATTGGTCTTCAATCATGCTAATTATTTTTCTTGTCAATCTAAAGTGTCTTAAAGTATCAATTTTACATCTAATTTTATGATTTATGTCCTTTTGTTAAAATCTGCAAGTCCTATGGTCCATTTAATTGATTTGGCTAACAATTAACAATATTAAGGGAATTAAATCAACTAATGATCAATGTTCTGTACACTTACCTCAGCTTTCTGGAAGTCATAGTCCAAAGAAAATTGTAATTTTCCCAATTTGACTTCAGATTTGGTGCTCTCAGCATCTTCATTATCTTCCATATTCACTTGAAGTTCATCTAAATCAGGCTGTACCTACAGAAATATTATCCGTTCTTAAAGATTTGTAAAGTTCATCTACATCTCTTTCATAAGTTATAGTAATGATTTGTGGTATACTGAGCTGAGTTTTATTGTACATGTTCATAATTTTTTTTAACTGTGTTTGAAATGTGTGCTCAACGAGTAGCTACTTGGACTGATGAAGCACAACTGTATACCGTTACATGAACCTTCATTTCTGTGTGTCTCAAAAACAAAATTGGAGTTTTATAAGAATTGTTTGTTGTTTCAAAGTGACAAAATTAACCATGACTTCAAAATCATCGCTTTGTTTATGTTGTGCTTCTTTTAAATGTCTGTGACTTTTTTGCCTCCACTGACTGGAGAGCATATGTGTACTGATGAAATAGAAAAGACCGTCCAGGTACAGATCAATTACAGTTTACTACAAGAGCACCAATTCTAAAGGTAGTGTAAACGCTGCTTAAGAGTATAGAAAAACAAGTCCCCAAAAGTCTAAAACTTAAACTGAGTTAAACCTTTAACTGATAAAATATGATCTATATAAAAGACAGGACATGGGAGTGGTATACCATAAAATCGTGTTATGGTACGTTAGTTAAGATGATCTCTACCCCTAAATGTCGTTTAAGACAGATTATATAACAGATCTAATATCTAAATATAACATATATAAGCTTACTGAAAGGCAAACAAAAGAAACGTAACTTAATACTGATATAAATTGAGAGACACTGGCAGTTACATGTACTGTGGTCAATGAACTCTTATTTTTGTTGCTTGAAGTTCATTTAAAACTGACCTTATGACTTTACTTTAACTACATATAAGCTTTGATAATAAGGTATATACGCATATGATTCACCCAAATGATGTTTCTTTTGCCTTTCAGTATACTGTGGCTCAACTAGACAAGAGGGGGACCCATGGACTTAACTGAATTTGGGCCCTTCCCTCAGGAAATGTTTTTTTTAACATAATGCTCTCCTGCATTCTGAGACCCGTCTATAAGTCAATTTAATGATGGTTAATGGAAGATTTAAAGATTTTCAGCCTGTACTTAATGCTATTTCACTCATTTAGTGGGATAGGGGCTTGTTGACATATATCAACCTGTCCCTATAGTAGTTGAGCCACTTTATATATCAACATACTCAAACACATACAAATGTATTAGAATAGGACCTGAAACACTTTGATACTTAAGAGTATAGTATGTGATCTTTAGTAATTTTCTGAAATTTGACAAGTGGCAATGTCTACTGTTATATTGCACTGTAATTAATGCCTTGACCATATGCTCTGTTGTTATACACATACATAAACTATCCTTATATGGAACACAATTTTATGGTATACTACTTCTTAGTTATATTGTACACAATGTTTACATTGTTATTATCGGGTAAAAAAATGGAACGTTTTGAGTACAATAAAACTACATTCTCTACCCCTAAATCTTGCTTAAGAATTATACACTATTCTTATACTAATTCATCAAAGAAAACATCAAAACAATAGCTCACGTACCTTTTCCTTATAAGCATTTCCCAATAACTGAACACTCTTCAAGTCCACTGCTCCTTTTAACCCTTTCTTTCCTTCCTTTTTCTTCTTTTTTCGGCAACATCTCTTACACATACAATAAGTACAGCAAACCAGAAACAATAATGCACCGGCACATATTAATATAATAGCCCATATTGGTACTGAAATATCAAATAAACATGGAACTATAAAACTTGAATACCAGATATTAATATAATGCCTGAATAGGAATTTATATACTGATATCCAGATATAAATATAACATGTATGTATAGAAGTTTACATACTGATATCCAAATATTAATTTAATATCTGTATAGGAATGTAACATATACTGATATCCCAATATTATAAAGGAATATATATATTGATATCATGATATTAATGTAATATCTGTATAGGAATTTATATAGATATCCCGGTATCAATGTAATATCTGTATAGGAATTTATATAGATATCTGTATAGGAATCTATATATACTGATATCCTGATATTAATGTTATACCTGTATTAGGAATTTATATACTGATATCCTGATATTAATGTAATATCTGTATAGGAATTTATATTCTGATATCCTGATATTAATGTAATATCTGTATAGGAATTTATATTCTGATATCCTGATATTAATGTAATATCTGTATAGGAATTCATATTCTGATATCCTGATATTAATGTAATATCTGTATAGGAATTTATATACTGATATCCTGATACTAATGTATAGGAATAGGAATTCATATACTGATATACCAATATTAATGTAATATCTGTATAGGAATTCATATACAGATATACCAATATTAATGTAACATCTGTATAGGAATTTATATTCTGATATCAATGTAATATCTGTATAGGAATTTATATTCTGATATCCTGATATTAATGTAATATCTGTATAGGAATTCATATACAGATATACCAATATTAATGTAATATCTGTATAGGAATTCATATACCCTATATTAGTGTAATATTATAATCAGTGGCCTATTTAGAGGTGGGCCGTTGGGCTATGTCCCCCTACCTCCGGCTTGTGAAAGGTCAATGGACACTTCACACAAGTTTTCCTTTTGGGCCTCACCTCAATCTCATTTTAGTCTCAATTTTGAAATATTGAAGATAAATAGTAAATTTGAATCAATATCACCTAGGTTTATACAAAACAGCCCAAAAAATTCGGTCAATCACTAAAATGCTGAGAGATGGATTTTTAAACATATAAGCTATAATTATATAACATACTTACATTTTTCAATTTGTTCCATAAATTTATCCTTAATCTTATCAAAATTAGTTTGTCCAGCAGTAGTAGTTTCATCTGCTGAGGTCACACCATCATCTGCTGGTGGTTGAGTAACAGCTTTTGCAGCAGCATTGACTGCCTGTTCTGCTGCCCGCCGCAGCCTGTGCATGTGGTCCATATGTAAGATCGGCATCTTGATGCTTTCAGATACTCAACCTGAAATAGGGAATAAAAATGAAATCATTAGAAATATTTCACAGCATACGTGACAATTTTCAGGAATAATTCAGTAGTTTATAGCACAAATTCCATGTGTTAAAATCTAGGTGTGTTATATAATGATTACTGTGTATTGTATACGGTACCTCAGAAACTTTTGATATTGCTAATGCCAAGATATTTTTCTTGCTTTTAATTGTGTAATTGTTATGATAGACAAATACACTTTATCATGTGTTAATTTTTAACAGACGTCATATATTGCATTTGAGAGTAAACTACTTTTACTTGTTTTTAACTTGCTTTTCTGTGATATTGCATAATATGTCATGTTAATGCATCAGGCCATTCCCAATTTTTATTAAGCATGTTTAAAATGTAAGTCTCTACATTTCTTGAATCTAAAATCAAAATAGTTTAGGTTATCATTCTAGGTTCATCAATGAAATAATTCTAGTTGCTTAAATGTGACAAATCTATTTTCTTAAATGTGACAAGTCTAGTTTCTTAATTGTGACAAGTCTAGTTTCTTAATTGTGACAAGTCTAGCTTCTTAATAGTTACAAATCTAATTGCTTAAATGTGACATCTAGATTCTTAAATGTGAAAAGTCTAGTTTCTAAAATGTGACAAGTCTAGGTTATAGACTATATAGTTAAACGAAATAATTTCATATTATTAAATGTGATAATCATAGTAGGTTCTATAATCTAATAACCAGGTTCCTAAAGGTGATTGTTCTTTGATAATTCTAAGATCTATGATGTACAATAAATCTATTTTCTATGTCTAAATTTGACAATTCTAGGTTCTAAAAAGTGATGCGAAAATTCTAGGTTCTAAAATCTTATGTGACAATTCTTAGTTCTAAAATGTAATGAGACAATTCTAGGTTCTAAAATCTTATGTGACAATTCTAAGTTCTAAAATGTGATAATTCTTGGGTTTTAAATGTGATTATTTTATGATAAAATAAATCAATATTCTAAAATTTGACAAAAGTGTGATGATTCTAAAATGTGACATATTGTCAGAAATATGAAATTTGATAACAGACTAAATCATAAAATATTGAAGATGTGGTGAAGTCATTCAATGTAAACTAAAGTGTTAACTATGATTTTTCTATGCCAGTAGAGCAGAATTAATAATATTAACTTTTTCTATACTTGACCAATTTCAAAATGACCTCTTAAAATGAATAGAGGTTTATAATTTATTCAAATTGAATCAAAGTTCGTCCCTACAATCACTTTTAATTACTTTTCAGTTATAGTCATTAGGGTTTAGAAAAATATGTTTCAACTTTTGTACACGTATTAAAGGTTTTTAAGCTCTTATTTGAATTATTCTATTTCCTATCCGATTTCTGTGGTTCCTGTAATTCCAGATACTATCATCTCATGCAATGAAATTCTGTGAAAGTTCTTTGAGATAACAGGAACCACAAACATCAGACATGGCATACTGTAAATATAAGATTAAGGACCTTCAAATACACATATACAAAGGCTAGGACTAGAAAACCTTTTTTTTTTGCAATCACTAAATAGGTCTACAACAGAACAACTTTCAAGCCTTATTCTGTCACTGGATGTTTTTCTGATCAGTACCATAATCAAAACTGCCAGGACTGACCTGGATTTTCCTACTTTCTCAGTGGATCAAAGATCATATATTTTAATATTCCCAAAACTGGGAGTTTCTGATTTTCATAAGGAATGACGGTTGATTTTTTTTTCAAGCAGAGCTGATTTTGGGTTTTTTTCTTTCGAATTTCTGGAAAATTGAGGTAGGAGAATCCGTAAAACAAGAAAAAAAATTGGTCTGGTCTAAACAATATTTATTGACATAATAGGATTAGGGAACAGGCTTTCACCTATAGTGCTTATTAAAATACCATTGCCTTAAAGCAAGATGGTATGTTTAAGTCTGTCAAAATTGTTTGTCCCTAGAGCAAGAGATGTTGTGAGAATTTTTGACATTTTCAAGCTAAAGTGTCTTAAATCCCTCTGGCCTGAATACAAATCTAAGCAGTAAAACTAAAAATATGAGTCAAATGTGTAGATTGAAAGTGTGGGTGACAATATAAACTGATAAATGTGTAGGAGTATAAGAAAATTAGTTGAAAAGTATGCTATAGAGCACGAGATGTTGATGTTTTAGAAACTTTACTGAAATATCATCTCAATTTCCAAAATCAAACAGCATTATCCTTGTCATAATTAATTATAATGTCATTGATCACTATTTTGAGTTTGATCTAAACTTACACGGGATTAGCTAATCTGGTGTCTTTGATATTTTTTATATGATATTAAATGAATAACTGACCTCAATAACATGTTATATCTGAATATAATGTACTGAAAATGTCCCCTAAGTGGTGGATTTTTAAATAAAGTATGTCTAAAGAACTATGGCAAGACTAGTGATAAGAAAATCAATACAATATCAGAATATTCTTTGAAAAATAGTTCACAATATGGTGGTTTTTATTTACCTTACTTTCACAAACAAATCCTAAATAGTAATCCACAATATCAACTGTCCACTTAAACAACCCTTATTTAATACCCAACATTGTATTAATATGTATATAAGGCTTGAAAACTGATATTTCTATGTTTAAAGGAAAAAAATGGCTGACACAACTCAGTGGCAGCTAGCTAATATTGATAATCAATAATACCACTCTGTTGCATTATGGTCTTGATATTATAATGTACTAGCGTGCCAAACTCTGGCAATTGTTTAATTTACTGCTACTTAATTATGAATTAATATAATACAGTTTGATTGCATACATTATCAAACTAATTTGGTTTTAAGTTAACGTAAATTATATCTCTGTACTCATTACATACACAGCGTCTTTTTCAGTACATTATTCATCCAAGGTTATTTCAACTATATATATAAACACATATTTTTCTTAAATTCCTTGCCCTTTTTTTATGTAGTTATTTCATTTTGGAGTCTACCCTTTTCTGAAAAATGTCCTTGGCGTAACAAATAAGATTTTGAAGGGAATATGCAATTTTCGTACATTTTTAGTACCGTACTTCTTAAGACTATTTACATATTTTCAAAACTCATTTCAACCCCCCAAATTGGGGCACTTGTCCCTTTAAAGAAATCCTGTAAGCCTGATTTACCAAAATTTACAAACAAGAACAGAACAACCTTTACTATAGTTGTCTTAAAGGGAGATTCCAATCTAATTTCAGAGTGTAAAACTAGACTTATTATCTTGATAGTATATTTCTGAACACTTTTCACAGTTTTTGTACCTTTTCCTGGAAACTGAGCAACCATTTTTAATATCAAATTTTACAATTGCTAATAAATAATACTTGACGTGACTTTTGCGTAGACAGAGTATTTCGAACTATGGACCTGCAACTCTTCACTTCCGGAGGTTCATACGAAATAATTGCTGATTGGTTTATTAACAATTGGGGGTCCAATCAAAATCCATTTCTCATAATCAAATAAATGCTGGAACAATAGAATTGGAGCCTGTGGGTTTCGAAATGTTTTTGTTAATAGAGAAATTGTTTGTAACTGTTTGTGACTTAATGCTTTCATATTTTTAGATGAAAATTTCGAAAAAAGAGACATATTCCTCTACACAAAGGCATGCAAGCCGCAAGCCGCAAAAATTGGTTGAAAAATATCAGAATCTCCATTTTGATGTCAGATTTGAATATGAAGAAAACAACCCTTACCAAAGTTCGTCCTTTGCTACCAAAAACTTAACACACATAAACAAATAAAATACTCCCACATGTACACTAAAATATCAAACATCTGACATTATACTAAATTGATATGAATACAAGTAGAGTAAATAATGATTCTGTAATTAACAAGTACATAATGGGTTATAATTAATGATAATAACACTAATCCATGGCACTCATTTCATTCATTTATATAACATATGGTCATATATTGCCATATTTCCACAGCTTTTTCTTGGGACACAATATTCCAAATATCAGAATATATTTTAACTAAATTTCTCTTTTGTAAATTCAGGGTAATATTGGAAAAAGTTTATATCCTAAAAGAAGAGAAATAGGTTAACTTGTGCTCTGAGTTTGAAATAGTGCCGGGTATCACCAATCATGCCATGATATGATACGTATCGTGATACAATACATATCGTGATATGAAGTAATTAGATAAAAACTTTTTTATATATTAATTTTGAACTTTATAACTGTGATATTTGATAATGTAGTTAATAAGAGTGGTTAACATCCACTGTCTAATAAATTGCTTCCAACAATTTAACTCAAGTCAGTAAAAAATTGTGATTCCGTTTACCAACTTATAAAATCCTCAGTTTATTATTCCAATGAGAGGTATCGTCAAGTATCAATACGCTATATGATAAGGGTATTGTGACATGAAAATTTGACTCTTGATGTCATTGATAATTTGACTCTTGATGTCATTGATAATTTGAATCTTGATGTCATTGATAATTTGTATCTTGATGTCATTGACAATTTGAATATTGATGTCATTGATAATTTTTATATTGATATCATTGATAATTTAAATCTTGATGTCATTGATAATTTGACTCTTATGTCATTGATAATTTGACTCTTATGTCATTGATAATTTGATTCTTGATGTCATTGATATTTTGAATCTTGATGTCATTGACAATTTGAATATTGATGTCATTGATAATTTTTATCTTGATATCATTGATAATTTAAATCTTGATGTCATTGATAATTTGACTCTTAATGTCATTGATAATTTGACTCTTATGTCATTGATAATTTGATTCTTGATGTCATTGATATTTTGAATCTTGATGTCATTGATAATTTGTATCTTGATGTCATTGACAATTTGAATATTGATGTCATTGATAATTTAAATCTTGATGTCATTGATAATTTAAATCTTGATGTCATTGCTAATTTGACTCTTATGCCATTGATAATTTGATTCTTGATGTCGTTGATAATTTGTCTCTTGTTGTCATTGATAATTTGAATCTTGATGTCATTGATAATTTGAATCTTGATGTCATTGATAATTTGTATCTTGATGTCATTGATAATTTGTATCTTGATGTCATTGACAATTTGTATCTTGATGTCCTTGATAATTTGTATCTTGATGTCATTGATAATTTGTATCTTGATGCCATTCATAATTTAAATCTTGACCAATCGTGCGTTCGACCAATCCTACTTTAGTCTCGGAATCAGGAATTTATATAGAATAATAAATATATAGAAAGTGAAATTTCTAGGTCGAGGTATATTTGTAGTGATAATACAATTTTGGTGCAATTGGTGTACTTCTGAAGACTATTTACATATATTCAAGACACAAATCAACTGTTGGAAATGGCATATCATGGCCTTTAAAATCTAAAATTGCAGTCATACGATATTATTCGTCCAATAAGACAATTAAACCTTGTAATGTCAGTCCAAGGTAGCAAGAAACACACTCAGAACCAAAGTTTGGCCTTATAGTACCATATAGTATTTCTATTAAAATATTCAAATTAATGCTTCCTCTTAAAATGGACATAAAAGTCTTAAACTTGGTCAATACGAGTATCTCTATATTAGACGATATATCCATTAAATTAAGTAATTATTGAGTATAGTATCTTCGTGTTTTGATTAGTTATTATAGTTTATTGTGGTTATGTTATGTGCTGAAAGGGAAACTATGTGGAAGAGATTACTTCTTGTTAACAGGTACAGTGGAGAAAATGTCACTTTTGTAACTTTGACATATAATCGATTATGAAATTTGATAATCGATGATGGAAATCATAAATTCCTAGAGACGATAATCGATTATTTCGATCATTTTGGCCAGCCCTACCTAAGAGGTAGTATAAGCTTACCTTTAAGATATCTCATCATGTATGTTTAGGTAAGAAGAGTGGTATAGTCATAATTTGAATATACATTGTCCTCATTACGAGGTATTCAGAACAATAAAAATGCAAAACTCACACAAAGACATACCGGTATTCACAGCAAGAAACATGAAAAGTGTCCCTTATGGTGTAAAATGCAAAATTGACACGTTTTCAAAGAATTCTTTCTTCAATTTTTTTTTAATGAATAGGTTATTTTTTTTAACAGAATAAAATGTTCTCTTACAGTTTTTTAAATCAAAATTTTTCCTTGCCCACCTTGTAAAAAATGGTTGTTTCTTTCATACTAATTCTTTTTTTTTAATAGTGGACCCTCACAATTTTCAACTTGGATGATATGCTGCAATAATGACTATGTTTATGCTGGATAATGCTTGAGATAAGGGTCTGTGTGAGTGACATTCCAAGACTTCTGACCTACATCCATATTTTTGTGAAGGAAATCTCCTTCATGTCAGCTATGTATTTAATCTACTTAATACAAGACAAAATTCTCATGAAGGCATTCTCCCCACTCATACAAACCTTTCTAAAAATAAAGTGAAATCTTACTTATTTCCGATATATGTCTAAATCAACGACAAATCTGTCACTACCATATCAATAAGGAATTTGTGTCTTCATCAGTGTTGGAAACATATCACTTCCAAAACGTAGTTTTTCAGTGTTATCAACACACGATAATCAACAATGACTGAAAAAAAATCAATAATAAGATCAGTCTGATACCAACCATATGTTAAACACTGTCCTATATTCAAGACTTATTCTTGATCACAAATCAATATTATTATTGTACTACAAACAACACAATTCAATAAAAAAATAAATTTCAGTTAAAGTATTTATACAATAACATATTTTATTTGGAATATATTCATCCTTGAGAGCAATTACTTGTACATTTTATGAAAATCAATGGTTGCTATGGCATTAGTGATGTCATTACAGTCCAGGAAAGAGACTGGAAGAATAACTGTTTACTAAAAATAAACCAGGATAAACTTACAGGTTAACTCAGTCATAATAAAAATGGATTAATAGCAAAATGGATTTTACCATTTCTTGTCAAAAAAATTGGTCATAAAGGGCACATTATTTACATTTAAGCTTAGTTACTTTCTATCAATAATCAAGAGTTATACATGAACCCATTGACAAAAGAGAAGGACTAACTTCACTGACAAAAATATTGAACGAAGAAATGACTTGGTGCTTTTCATTAATTACATCAGGGACATAGATCTTTAAAGGAGCATTTTGTTATTTTTGTAGTTCAACAAAATTTTTTGCTCAAATTCAAAACTATATGAACCCAAAATCCAGAGGAATATGTCCCAGGAAATGCTAGGAATTTATAATTTTGATTATCAAATTTCTTAATCGATTATAAGTCAAAGCTACATTTTCTCCACTGTACCCATTAACAAGTAGTGATCTCTTCCACATAGTTTCCCTTCAGCACATAACATACCCACAATAAACTATAATAACTGATCAAAGAAAGAATATACATCTATCATGAAAAAATTAACCATAAAATTAAGAATTTCGGCATGTTTTTAATTTAGTATATACATGGTTTCTCAATTAAATTATTTCGATTATTAATCAATTATTGATCATTAGTCTGCCATCGCTAATCACTCTCAATTTTGTAAATCCTGCTATTATTACTATTTAAAAACGTAAACCTTTTAAAGTTTGTCATGCTTTTTGATAGGTGTTATGAAACTTCTCTTCCGATTTAAGCAAAATAGATGCATAATTGTAGAGAAATACGCCTCCTACGTAAGCTTAAATTATAAAGGTTTCAACCAATAATATTGGAAACCAAAACTAGTGTTAGCTACTCAATTAACTTAATAGTACATTTGGGTTTTTCATTATCCTTTAAAACTAATTCAGTTTGACCAAGTAGATTTATAAATGTGACAAGCATATTTTAAACATATTTTCAGAAATGATTTACGAAGTTTTTGATAATGAATATTTTGCATGCCGCCTCTGTAAATATTTGTAGTTTTGAGTATCACTTTCCAGAATGCAATATTTGGTTCCCCTCTAATAAAAAAAAAATGAGCATTCTCCCGAGCAAAAGACAATGTCCAAATTCAATTGCAGCAAAAATCTTTAGAAATGGCATCATCTAAAACTTTCAACTTAAATATGTACCAAATAACACTAATTTTTACCTGCAACGTCAGTCCCAATCACAAATTATATATATAAAAAAAATTGTTTAGCTTATTACGAATGTTGACAAAAAATGATGAGAATTTTAGATTGTCTTTGGGTTCATGAATAACAATATATGATAAAATTATTATATCAGATATTATAAAAGATTTAAAAGGTAATTTTCAGTCCAAGGGTAACATTTATATGTAATTTCTGAGAGGAAAGTGAGATTATTTCTATTGACAAATATTATCATTTCTGTGAAAACATGGCAAAAACAAATAAAATACTAAGTATTTAGTAAGGATATTGGATGTTAACAACACTAACAGTTGTTGGCAGAAATAAAATAACTTTGGCAGCACTTTACAACAGCATAAAACTGTGAAGTTATAAGAGAAATAGATGTTTTTACACACAAAGATTGATGAAGAAATGACATTCCAAAATTATTCCAGATAGATATTCCAATGGTTCATTTGGGCCTTGAATTTATGTAAATAGTCTTCAGAAACACCAAAATGAACAAAAATGGCATAATTCATTCAAAAATACCTCAAACTAGGACTTTATTATTTTTATTTCTAGTGGTCTTTTTAACTTTCAACGTTTTAACTACTAGGCCTATATAGTTTATGAGAGAGGAGAATCTTTAGAACTTAAAAGATGTGCAAACTACTATGTACTCCTGCCTGGGATGAAATCACTAGTCCTAGTGTGGAAATTCACAATCAAAGGGAGCGAGGCTAAAAATTATCATTATCATTGCAGGAGGACGTTAGGATAATCACAACAAATATCTTACTGAGTACCTAAAGAAGTTCTGTGAGCATTTGACAATTCCAGTGGTCGGAGATAAGGTTTCCTGACGATTGGTATGGAATCTGTGCTAACAAACAATCATAATGCATAATGAATATATGTACGTCATAAATGAATATGAAATGCTCTAGTACTCCAGTAGTAGACAGAGTTGAAGTATATAGATAAGGTACCAACCATGAATATTTCCATCCGCCTAAGGAATCTGAAATGTTTATTTTTTTCGAATGGATTAGATTCTAGTTCGATTCACTGGTTATTATTATGGCGAAATAAACACAAATTAATTCTAATGTTTATTAATGTTTACATATCGAACTTTGTGATCTCCTTGATTGAAGAGTTGAAAGCCGCGCGCATGACTACTTGGCCGGAAGCAAGACAACTCACATATCGGTCTACTTTCTAAGACAATTCGGACCGCTTTGAAAGAAAACTCGGACCACTTTTTGTAAGACTTGGACCTACTTTAAAAGAAAAAGACACTCGGACCACTTTTTAGGTGTAATGGGGCGCTTTGTACTGGAGCATAATTTTTTTAGAGAATTGAAGAGAAAACTTAAGAGTAATTTGTAAGAATTTAGAGAGGGAAGGGAGGTAATGCCATCGATCAAGGATCCTAAGTGTTGAAAATCTACACTTAAATAACAAGCTTCGGCAATACTTTGCTATAAATTATATACCCCTACTCGAAGTTTTGTCGTCCATTCGTTTATTCGCATTATCTCGTGCTCATTCCACGGGCAACACTTCAAGTTTTGACAGAATCTGTAATTTGGCAGCAGTTTAAGAATATGCCTATTGTTTTTGTAAGCACCAGGCAAATTTTCACCAATCGACAGCGTTGGACGGGTAAAGGCCTAGGCTACTATCTAGTGCTCATTCCTCACCCTACAGACATATTTGATGATAGACTTGTTTCCTTTTCAATAGTTTATTTAATTGCAGTCGAGAATGTTTATATATCACTTTGAAGTATGAGAACAGAAGCAGGCTTGACTGCTTGTCAAATGGATAGCTATTAAAGCGTAATTAAAACTATAATTGATAGAAACAAATTATACAAATAATTTGAAACACATATTGTATTGTTATAGCACAATTATTGACTTGAAAGTTGAAATAATTTTAAAACAGCATCACAATGTCAAATTATTACCTACTTCATACTGCATACTTCATTGGCTGCAATAGTCACCTTTCTTGAAACATGGAAGTTTGTAAATGAAGCGATTTGAATGGATTGTACACTGGCATTTACTGGAAACAAAATGTCATGATGTTTACAGCCTTTCTACCGAGGGCTCTGGTTGGCTGTATTCTCTGACATACAATCCATTCAAATCGCTGTATACCGTAATACAAGAATAGTGGCTTTTGCAGTCAAGGTATAAGAAGGCTACGAAGTTCGTAAAAGCTTGACATTGTGAAGATGATCCTATGGTGAAGATGATAATACCCTGTGCATGTGCTTCTTGAAAAGGGCCTAATGTTGTTGCTATTAATAGCTGATGGTTTCGTTTCGCGTCGCGCTTGGTCAGAGAGAAATTATCATTTTCGTGGGAGACAGCACACACAGATTCAAATAACAGAATCCGATTTGAAATTAAACTATAAAATATTTAAAATTAAACGAGAACCCTATTATTTTGCCACGCTTTCTCGTGGGCGAGAAGTCGAAAGTAGATATGGCCGCAGCCGGCTTCCATAAATATAATAAATGTTATTAGAGTATTTGTCATTGTGAAATCTATATAGTGCCAGATGTTGCAACTGTTCACCAGTATCAAATTCAGATTATTGGACCTACACAAACAAGCAAGAGCAGAGAAAAGAAAAACTGGAACAATCAATATTTTCACATCTTCACAATGGTCTATAGGTATACTACGTCTTCAACTTATACCATCACTGCAATGGTCCACTTTCTGGTTTCATGGTCAGCGATTTGATTGGATTGTACGCCAGCGAATACAGCCAATCGGAGCCCTCGATTTCATGCGTAATTATTTTTTTTACAGTCTGTACAGTCAAATTGCTGCGTTCACAAACTACATGAGAAAGGACTATTGCAGTCAAGATATAAGATGAAGACGCGATATCTTGATCATTGTGAAGATGAGATTTTCAAAGGCTAAAATTGAAAAATACCAAGCCATTATAAGGGCATACACCATATCCTTTAACGTATAATCTACACTTATTTTGAAATTATAATTTTTGCATGCTGCTCCTTTTAATAACAATTGCTTGTCTTAAATAATATTCACGTTAAAATACGGGTCCAGTCTTTCAAATAATTCACTTTTAAACAAACTGTTTGTGGCCATTGTCATCAATATTGTAATATGTACGCATATAATTAATTAACTGTATTTATTATGTAAGAAATATCACCAAACTTAGTTATCTCATCGCACGATTAGGAAACGTTTAACGATATTGTTTAGTCAATTAGACCGATTAGACACTTGGTCTAATCTACTATTGATAATATTAGGCTAATGACATAGTTTAATCACCTGAAAACTTTTTAAAGGGGCAGATTCCTTAAAATTAATGAATCAATTTTCTTATTCCTTCAGACGTTTCTCTATGTCTTTTAAACTTTCAAACGCGGATAATTCTGGACATACATGGATTTGAGGGCTCCGTATGGTGGGTTGTGATTGGATTAAATAATTCTCGTTTCTGAGGTACGATCGGTAAAATAAATGGCGCATCTGTCCCTTTAATGGAAAACAGAAAATTTCAAGTATTTTCGCCCTTCGATATATTTCCATTTTTTTTTTAATTACAATTTTATTTCATACGATGTATTTCAAAACTTAATTCACATTTGGTCGATTTGACTTTTGGTCGAAACATCC